GATTGATGTAGAAAATGACACAATCAGCTTCAACCTTCCACCTCGTTTCTGATGTTCATTTTGACTTCCGGTGCGAGCTAGTTGAAGCGTAAGTTAACAAATGACCGCTAAACTGAGCAGCTTAATTCATTGGACAATCTCGTGATCAATCCCATCAGATAATGGAATATGACTGTGGTTCTTCTCCACATTCCTACCGTGCGCATGGCACCCCAGACGGGTCATTCTACTGCATTGCGTGCAGTCAATTTCCATTTATAGGGTATTGCGTTTACGTATAATCTAAAACAGATCCTTTGCTCATAAGTGTTTATTAGCTATAAGTTTTTGGAGTAAACTCCATATTAAATTTGATGTCATTTGTATTGTTATAATTAATTGCCCTTGTTGTTTCCCATTAGAAGTTTTTTCTGAGGGAGGTAAGTCCCCTTAACTTTGCCGCCGGCCGGTGCGGCAATGCGTAATATAGTTGCCGGATGTTGCCAGAGGAAAACGGCATAATCAGCTTACACAAGTAAATTTATACAAGTAAATTTGTAATTTTTGTGTAACACGTTAATATTAATGGTTTTTTATTTTCAGGAAACGCATATTTTAGCCTACCAGTTCAATTGGAAAAAGTCAAAATCAGTGAATATGGAGAAAAAGGCCCACCTGGCAACAATTCACTTTTGCTTGCGTTCCCTTGTAACGTTACGCAATCTGTGCCGCGTCTTATCTGTGCGACGTTGCCACATCTCCTCCCTTTGTACCAACCCCTGCAACATGTGTGTGTTCAAAGTTGCGCACGATTGATTCTGCATGTATAACATTTACGATTTAGGAAGGTTATTAAATTATTCTGTTGAATGTCAGTTACTGATAAATTGTAATATAGAAGAATTCGTATCTATCATTTTTTCACATGAGTATATTGATGGTTGGTATCCTTGCTACCTAAACACTTTAGTTCCTTCAATTTCTTTTAAAGCAAATACGTTCATAACTATATTTCACAAAAAAAATTATGCCTTGCCATTGATTTACAAAATAACGTTCTTAGACTGAAAGCATCAATAATTGCGAACAACATTAATTCTCATAAAAAATATAAACAGTTCAAAACCGTACTTTTCAAAACCCGCTGACTAGGCCACTGCCCACAAAGTCAAGGCCATTTCCCGCCAAGACGCTCTCCGACAGGCGCATGAATGCTGCTGAGGCTACCAAGTTTGCTGACCCTGACTACCGCATTGTGGAGCCTCGTGACCAAGAGGTTGATCGTGGAAGAGGTGGATCGATGGAAGAGGTTGATCGCAATCGATGGAATCTTTGCTTGCTTGAAATTTTGAGCACTACCGCTTTGCCGAGCTTAGAAGTTTAGACCCGCGTAACACTAGAGGTATTAGAAAGATTATTGAAATACTTAAGATATGTCGAAATGTATATAACCACGGGTATGAAGATTGAAGGGTTGACGAAAATAGGCTTCTCAGTCGCCTTCACAGACAATGGCTTGTTTCTCAAATTGAAACATATTAGCGACTACCGTCAATCGCATTTTCAATCTATTATCTATAGTATATTCAACACCTCTACGATATTAGTCAATATTTCTATTAGATTTCATTGTTATTTCTTATTTCAAATTCATATATAATCTAATTAATATCACGTAATTCATCACTAAGAGAGAAGCGTTCTCTCTTAGTAAAATAAAACCATTTTTCAATCAGTATAATAATGGTATATAATAAATGAAAAGAAATCACTCAACTAACGTAAATACGCACCTTGAATGCGTCCTCAAAGCGAGAGATTCGGAAAATGAAATATAATTGAAGATTACTATTATTATTATAATTATTTAACCCCTGCCCCACTCCCACACCCATCGTGTACTCTGTCCCCACTTGTTCTTGAGATGAAATTTATTTTTATTTTGTTTGCATTATTGTGTTAATATAAATATAAATCAACATTCTTATTTATCAAAAGATTCACTACGAATTTTTGTCTTCTTGTTTATTTTTAGGATTTATACAGGAATTGATGAGTTTTACTCTATTATCAAATTGACTATTTATTTACTGACAATCTTTATTGACAATATGTGTTCATAATTTACAGCAATGCTATGTCGTGAACCAAGCACAACCAAGCTGATAAATACCATAATTTCATGTCAATTGAAATGTATAAAAGTCGCTCAGCATCAACAGTGATGTGCAAATAAGTTACATGGCTATTATTGTTCAAGTTAAATATCGACTGCTTCAATTGTTAAATTTTACGACAAACGAAAGAAATTTGTGCGAATATTATCTGCTTTCGTCCCTGTAAAAATGAGTCCGCAGTTCACGCTTATTTGGTAGAAAGAATGGTCATTAATCAATAATCAGGCAACCAGACGTCAACCATGAAGAGACAACCAGCAAAGCGACGAGGTTCACCGCAACTCCCTAACCCTCCATCCCCTCACCCTCCATCCCCTCACCCTCCATCCCCTCACCCTCCATCCCCTCACCCTCCATCCATCACGCACATACACAAACCAATTGGCGGATGACGTAATTGCAGCTTATGAACATAAACACTGAATTTGCCACCACGTTCCAATTTAACACATATAATAACATTTTTCTGGCCGACATATCAACGTTGTAATGGTGATAATATAATAAGTTGAAGATATCCTGCAATAGTGATTGAACGCCTGTACAACATTCGCATGCTTTATAATTTTCATTGTTTGTGTTTCTTTTGCCGCCAATACAGAAGCGGTTTTGAAGTCATTGGATATGAAAAATACAGCCGTTCGATTACAGTCGGTGTTATCGGTAAATATCGCTATTATCTAAATAACGATCATTTGAATGAAGATTATATAAAACGTTAGTATCAAAATCGCAATTATGTAAATCGTGTCACGTAGTAACGTTGTATTCTCCTTTTCGATGTAACGTCATTTGTTGTGAGATTTAAAAGCTCGTCTCGAGTTATCTGAGTAGTATATAAGCTCGTCCTTAAGCGACCATTTAACAGCGTTGCCAGATGGTATATTTCTATACCAGATTTCACAAATCTGGTATTTTCAGACGGTGTCTGGTATGAACATTTTATATCTGGTATATTTGCCTTAATCTGGTATTTTATTTTCTGACTTAATGCAAATTTACTGCATTAAGTTCCACCTCTGAAGTTTGAATTTCCTCCAGCGTAGGCGTGGATTATATAGATTACCATCAGAGCGGCGCGACTAGAGGTTTCCCGTCATTTATGGAACCGCAAGTTTACCGCTTGATAAAATAACCCCAATTTAATTGTTAACATTTAACAGAAGTGCTCAGTGCAATATGAGCATGAGAGTGGTGATCTTCGATTGATTACTGATCAGTGATGAACTGATGATATGGCCTAGGACGAGTGAGGATGTCGAACCGATCTCTGCGACGCAATCTCCACCGTTTTTGTTTGGTGGTTTTGAATTATAGAGTGCCACTTATTGGAGTGCCACTTGAATTCTGAGGTGCCATTCAACATTTCACTGATCTTGACAATTATCATCCATTCAGGGAACTGGCTGCCTACTGCATCACTTGTCTACTTTGACCAGGTCTCCAAAGCATTCGTGGTGAAAGTGTTTTTACAAGTCACCTATGTGAAAAACAAGCAACGGAATAAAATTTCAACTACGGTACTGGAGTCCCTTATTCGGACCAAAAGCTATCTGCTCAACCGCAACAAGTGATCACACCCGAAATGTTAGATTAATGCAATATGCAAGCATGTACGTAAATAAGACAAATGAAGATGACCTGTTTCCGTGGCTTGCTCATGTTGAGCGAAGAAGAAAAAGTGCCACAATGACACTGATAAAAAAAGGAAAAAGTGTCAATGTAATCAAACACAGGGAAAGAAAAGTGTCAAAATGTTCCAAACAGAGGGGAAAAAAATATAGCGTGTTCAATTTGGCTAATTATCGTCAAGCCAGATAACTGCACAGTACATAAGGTAATTTTTTTCTAACCAACGTTTCTGACGAATAGTTGTATAAAATTTGGAGGTATTAGTCTTTTTTGAACGATAGAATTTCTGGTATATTTCTGGTATTTTGAGCTAGGCAATCTGGTATTCTCGCCAAGAAAAAACCTGGCAACACTGGCGACCAAAGCTTCAGTCCTGCAGCAGCCTCTAGACTGTGCACATCTGCGCTGACGGCTCCGACACTCGCCTGTAACACGGTGAACTTGGCGCTGTAGAGTAGGCTTGATGTGGGTGTGGCCTGTCGCCGATTCATTTCCTTTTCGTGCCTTGTTCACAGAAGATCTAAAATCGTGTCATTTGACCGTATCTTTTCATGACTGACGAAAGTTTGAAGTAGCTACTCGACTAAACCGGGTTCGATATGGTGCTAGGCATTTCAAATCTGAACATATATTTTTCCATAGCTTTATCTAGTCTGTTCTTGAACGCGTTCAAACTTGGAGTGCGCGCAGGATAGCAGGATCTAAATGCAGGATAGTGTGGATCTAGCAACCTGACCTATTCCTGTATTAATACCTCACCGTGCTTTATCTTAAATAATTACAAGTTTAGAGTTATCACTCTTAAATTCCCCTTATTATAGCATTTGGATAATAATTTGAACCGGAATTAACCAAGACATTTCATTTAATAAAAACTGATCCCGAGTGTCACTGAAAAGACTTCCGGACAATCGCGATGATCTCAATGACCATCATTTGAAGCATGATTATCTAAATGGCGATTATTTAAACCGTGATCATCTAAATGGGGATTATGCTAATTAGTTTGACAGTGGGGGTGGGGAGCAAGACTCCCTTTCATCCTTACGTCGAACCCGTTCAAATGCAGCCGATGACCTTCAAATATAGGGTGATATGGATTACTTTTATATTAACTTTTGTTTAATGTTCTTCACAAATTTTTTTCTACTCTTTTACTAGCCTGGGATTCAGAAAAATATTTCTTTAACGTTTATTTACTTTCCAGAGACGTGTGAATAGAAATAAGGTTACTTCACGACAATTTTATTATTCCCATTGCGATCAGTTTTTAAACGGAAAATGGAACACCAAGAACATATCCCACTTACAAATGTGCATGAAAGAAAGAATATTCTGCTTGTTCTTACCAACACGATGGCCGAGAACTCTAAACTGGCCCCCGACGTAGATCTTCATCGTATAGCTCGCATGACGGAAGGTTTTTCAGCAGCGTACCTAGAGGCTCTGGTGAGAGCTGCGGTCTCCCATGCCCTCTGGAGGCACATCAAGTTTGATGGTCAAAAAATGACCGCCGATCCGGAGGCCGGTGAAAACATCAAGGTAATTATAATACTAAATATAAACTTTATCGTCCAATTCTTTATGGGATGAATGAGTTCATGATTTTTTTTATATAATTCACTGTTGCTTTTAATGAAACGAAATATTTGATAATTCTTATACATTATTTCGTTTCACATGGGATGATTTCACATCACACTTTTTTCCACTTTATGAATTCTTGATGTCAGTTTTACCGTGAGCATGAAAAAATTTCTACTAAATACTATTTCATTTTATGTTCATGTTGCATCTTTCATTGCATGTTTATTTGTATTGCTTATTTCCATCCCATACAAGATTTTCTTGTTTCAAAGTTGTCAGACTCTTGGCCATGTTTTTAAAACGTTTTTCTTAGTTTAGCTTCGCGTTTGTTTGTTTGTTGTTAACATTGACAACGAAAATTAGCCCACTTCTGATTGCTCTAGAGATCTGAAATTCGGCATGCAGGCTATTTTCGCCTAACAATTTCAGATACAATCATAAAAACTAGCAATTAGAGACCTAAATTAGCTTAATTGAGTAAAGTATATATATATATATGGTATGTATATATATATAGTATGACGTGCGGGCGCTGACGCTGCGTATCATCGATACGTACGTGAAGTCGAGTAAATTGGCTCGCAACGTTTTTCATGTGTAGCAACGGACTAAAAAGGAGAAAATAAAATACTTTAAAAAAATTAAAAAAAAAACACGTTTTTCTTGTGGACTAAAAAATAGAAAATAAATTAGGACTCACCCCAAAAAACGTGGGTCGGGCTGTGCGTTCACCATCAAATTTCCAAAATTCGTGTGTTGTGTGCTTTTTGCTTTAATCATAAATCTGCCTGACACACGTTTTTTGGAGTGAGTCCTAATTTATTTTCTATTTTTTAGTCCACAAGAAAAACGTGGTTTTTTAAAAAGTTTTTTTTTAAGTATTTTATTGTATTAAGATCATAACCGAGCTAGTCCTTCAGTCATTCACGTTGTGCAGTGCGAAACATTTTCTTATAACGAATTCCGCCTGCAGACACGTGTTGGTGTCATGTTTACTACATCATCTATAGATTGAAATAATTTTATATTAATTGTTTGGAAAAAATGACAAGCATGAAGGATTCAGCTGACCCGGAACCAATAATTTTTTCCCTGTTATTTTTTATTTATCTCTACATAGTAGAGTCAAAATACGAGCGCAGCAATTTCTCACACATACAGTAATCCTTCACCTATACAGTATTCCCTCATGCACCTATACATTAATCTTTCATCTATACAGTAATCCTTCGCCTAGTCTATACAGCAATCCCTCACCTATACAGTAATAACTAACTTATCGCTGGTGTTGGGTTCTAGATCTAGTTCCTCGGGCTGTTTAAATCTGCCGATTGTCTTCGTAAGAACCCTTGATGAGCCGCGAATGATTCTTCTCATTAATATTTTATAAACTAATGTATTTCATTAATTAATGATTCCTACAATTTATATTTCTTGAAAGTGACGTTGCGCTAGGTCAGTGGTTCCCAAACTTTTTCAGGCTGGCGCCCCCTTTGGCTCCCTATAGTGGATTTCTAGCTCCCCCCACAGACATACGCCTCTTTCTTGAAATTTAGTACGCTACAATTTTAAAAGATAAAGGTTAAACACAGATGTGTATTTCACAAATAGAAGCCCATTTAGTGAACCAATATGTTTTTCAGCTGTTTTAACTGTTTCAGCACTAGAAACCTAGGACGTCTCGGGCGAATTTATACGGCCGGACTCGTGGCCGGTCTCAGGACCAATCTCCAAATTCAATTATCAAGTAATATCTCCCAAACTAATGAACGCAGCTCTACGAAACTTGGAACACGGATTCATCAGAACCTAGCGGTGATGTTCAGCTCGTCAAATTTTTTTAATTTCACCTTCAGTCGTGAGCTGCGCGTATATTGCGAAACAGTCCGAAATTCGCAGTGATCAAAGAATTTATTCCAAACTATTGAACAGATTTGAACGAAATTTTGAATATACATTCCTAACTACCAAACGGTGATTTTTTATCTTATACACTTTTTTCGATTTTACCTTCGTTTGTGAGTTTTTTTTCATGTCACCGTCATTCTTGATTTCACACTTCCTTATATTCGGCCCATATCGCGAGGTAATTTGTCACTTAAATTAGCGGTGATCAAGAAATTTCTTCTGAACTACTGAACAGATTTGAACGAAACTTGGTACCTATATAAATACCTAACCTTCCAATGGCATTCTTGATTTCACACTTCCTTATATTCGGCCCATATCGCGAGGTAATTTGTCACTTAAATTAGCGGTGATCAAGAAATTTCTCCTAAACTACAGAACAGATTTCAACGAAACTCTGTAAATAAATACCTAACCCCTCAACGTTGATGTTTAGCTCGTGACAATTTTTCTATTTTGCAAATTTCGTTCGCGAGTTATACAGACATAGGAGGAACGACCGGCTTTTCTACCGGCCGGTTTAACCAAGTCGCAAAACAAAAAAATGTAAACATCACCGTTGCTGAGGTTAGGTATTTAAATACTAAATTTCGTTCAAATCTATTCAGTAATTTGGAAACAATTTCTTTATTACTGCGAATTTAAGCACGTATTGCTGTTTAAACCACGAATGAAGGTGAAATGAAAAAACTCGAACGAAGGCACAATCGAAAAAATTTTTGGGCGATATCGCCCACTTTGGGAACCACTGCGCTAGGTGAAGCGCGATATATAGAAGGATTATTGTATTCATTTTGTTGAAATGAAACAAATTCTAATTCTTTCTTTTTCATCAGTTTTTTTATTGAAAAGCAATACGAATCAGTCACTTCCATGTCGCTTAATGTAATAATGTGGTCTCTTTTGTCGCAGGTGACGCAGGCAGACTTCTACGATGCACTCGAGAAAGATGTGAAACCGAATGAAGTTCATTGCCGCCGGCGGTAACGCCCATGGCTATCTGGGATTGAAGACTAAATGAATACTTCATAATAAATGATTCCCATAGAATGAATTTCATTTGACATTAAAGAAATTCGCTTAGTGAAACACTTTTGCAACGCGATTGAAAATATTTCTAAGCTGAGAAGTTTTTATTACCAAACATTTTTAAACAATAAAGAATTTAAAATGAAAATTTTTGCTATGAAGATTAAAATTTCCAAATGTGAAGATGAATCTACTGGTATTCCATAAACAGTGATTTGCCCCAAGTATAGTGTGCGTAGTATGGCATGAACATATAATGTCAGTGCGGCAGATGCAAGGTTTATTTCCATCACAATTGAAACTAGTCAACTGCAGTATCTTGCATACGTAAGACTGGACACTAAACTTCATTGATACTGTCAGAGGAATGACGAATTAAATACAAGATCATGCCTTTTTCCTGGGCGTTAGTAAGAATGCATCGAATAATGATGATGGACAGTGAAACTTTTACGGTGAAATAATTGTAAAGGATACATGATTTATGGCTCAAAGCCTCTACAATGTTTTTTTTAACACTTTATAACGCCCCTTGCTTGAGTGTAGCCCGCCCCTTGCTTGAGTGTAGCCCGCCCCTTGCTTGAGTGTAGCCCGCCCCTTGCTTGAGTGTAGCCCGCTAAATACGGGAACACTGTGAAGTTAAACGCAGACCCAGAATTGGCTGAGTTCTATATTCAACCTATAGATTTTACTTGTATAATACTGTAAGATTTGAATTGATAGCTGCCATCCGAAATAAGATAGGTTCATTTTTTATTCTACCTTATAGTAACGACGTCACTCACTGAATTGGAAATAGCTCTCTGACAGAACGAGAAGCGTCAGTCCGAACCTAGAACTGCCGAGTATAGGTTCTTCGACTCACTCCCCTACGAGTCGTTAGCGTAGATAAAAACTCACTTCTATTGTAATCCCATAAACTGTAAGGCCGCACTAATTAGCAGGCTCAACGCCACCTGAAAGTCTTCCATGCTTCAGAGGGAATATTTTAGACGGCGAGCTTCCCCGGATACAAAATACGCCAGAAACAGTCGTGCGTCAATGGCTGGATCAGATGAAGAATCGCTTCACTTCCACCGGCCTCATAGACGACAGCGGTCGGATACATCTTGCTTCGCATACGCCACAAGAAATCATGTGATGCACGTGGCTTGCTGTCACGTTATCTACGACCAGCCTTCCAACACTACAGTTACGAACGGGTAAAGAAAGAGCTGTTTATCGCCGACGGTAACGTCACTACAATTTCCTTCGTAGACGCAGCTCGCCGTACTTTTTGAGGTAGCACAATCTGCGAAACCAGGCAAAACTCTATGAACAATATTACAATACTTCAAGTGTCTGCAATGGAAATCGTCGAGACATTCTTCGACCGGCCATGCTTTAATGAAGGTTTAGAAAGACGTCCTGGTCGTGATCTTGTATATGAGGTTGTGTTTGATCTCGCAGTAAACCTCGTGTTCTCAAAACGCGCCACAACCAACGCGCTGCTCAGGCGCGAAGAAATCAATGACCACAGCGAGTCAGGCAGTCAGCTCATATTCAGTCTACAGAGCGCGACGTTTAACGAAGACAAATGAAGCAAGTTAATAAATTAAGAGCACCGAAAGATGCAACCGTACCATCGCACACAGCGGCTGCTGCATATACGCAGCAACCATCACCAACGCGCCATCACCAAGCATCACCACGCACCATCACCGAGCATCACCACGCGCCATCACCGAGCATCACAACGCACCATCACCGAGCATCACCACGCACCATCACCAAGCATCACCACGCACCATCACCGAGCATCACCACGCGCCATCACCGAGCATCACCACGCACACTCCACGAAGCTCGTGGCGCAAGCCGTGCAGCGTCGCGTGGCAGGCGAGGCTACACTGAGAGAAATGGGTGGGTCTGAATGACTCACTTTGGTGAGTCAACCGCCGTCCTGAAAACGATTCATATTTATAATTATGACCCACTTGCCCCTTTTGTGGGTCATACTGACCTACTGCTGGCCCTTTAAATTTTAGGTATGATTCACTTGTGGCGTCAAATCGCTTGCCTACAGTATGAACCGAATGTTCGTACACTTCATGCACTGTGCGAGTGCTATGGAGGATGAATAATCAAAGACAAGTAATACCTTATCAATATTTGTTTAGAAACTGCTCGTTTAGCAAAACTTATGCATACGTATTCATTAATATCATACATAATTTTACTTTAGAAGCACGATAATCCTCTTACAATAATAAAAGCTCAGTCCCTTGTCCACAACTTGGATTAAAGTGTTTTGTAAGACAAAAGTAAAATAAGTATAATAAAATAATAGGATTATAGAAGAGGTCCAAAACCCCAATGCTATTGAAATATCACGCGAAAATAAACTTAAGTCTTTTAGCTTGCATTCGAGAAACCAGTTCATGCAACAACCGAAATTCAGAAAAATGAAGCTCACATCACAATAAGTTACAATTTTTTACTTTCACAAAGCATTGCATTAAAATACAAAAACCAGGATCAAATTTCAAAAATAGGCGGACGAATTTAATTTAATAGTGAGCTAGAGAGAAGGCCTTGTGGTTTTAGTTAAATCAATAGGCGTTTTTAAGGCATCTTCAAATCATGGAATTGTCTTCCGATGAAAAGTTTTGTTGTCTTTGTGGGTGAAAGGATAGGTACAGTTCAATGTCACGAAGAGCAAGCAAGCCAAAGAACAGTGGGTTTCAGAAGGCCCTTAGCAACAAGCCAAATTGTGGCATTTCCTGCTGAAGTAACTGCAGATATACTCGCACATTTCAAAGCACCTGTTCTGCATGGGTTTTCTCCTTTTTTACCATGATGATCTGGAGTTCCGGTTGAAGTATGGGCTCTTGACAGCCAAAAAACACCAGAAGAGAAGGCATGATCGAGGTAGGTTATCAGCAGCAGGTGCACCCGCAGCAGTACCCCCAACATGGACAACACTGGAAGGAGCTTCGTTGAGACATTCGTTGAGATGGCTTAGAACTATAACCGCCAGTAGACGAGGAGCCATTTCCTGAAATTCAAAGACATACGTTATCACCAATCCATATATAGCTTATTTGTAATGTTAATTCATTGGGAAAAAATATATTTTGCTAACCATTATAGGCACTTGCTGTTGTTAGTAGAAATGCTGTTTAAACACATTCCTACTACAAGAGATTCACAGTGTACGCACCACGCGATAACCACGTGCTACGAGGCAACTACGCGGAGACTATATAAGTACCACGTGGAAACACCCACGGAAACTACGCGTATATACGGACACCAGCAAGCATCAGGTTATTATCCTGGCGGCTACACTTCTCGAAACCAAGCTAAGTATTCCTGTCACAGTGTGCCTCTTTCAAATATTTATTATCTGGTTCACGGAGATAATGTGCAGGGTGATCGTTCGTTAGAATGACGCCGGCAGCAACATGAATTTGAAAAACTTTCCAGCCTATTTGCCGGTCAAAGACAACCAAATGTTCATTGTATTAACTTGAGGCCTACTAATGATGTTAACGCTAGGCATGTTCTTCCCATAGTGTTTTCAAGCAGAAGTTTTTACAATAAAAATTTTGTGCAACCATCATGTGCATGCTTTATTCATGGAAATCTAATGTCGACGCAACGCTTGACTGGATTAGATATATATAGTCTTCCGTATAGCAAAGAACTAAGATCTAGTTCTTTCGCTACCAGCAACACTTCTAATGTGGTCAATCAATGTTAGAGTGACATGTAACGCAGCCTATAGGCCACGATGATTTCATGAGAGGTCATGCTAAACATTTAAATAAAAGCAGACTGCCGCAAATGTTGATCCCAATCGAGTGAACCCAGAGACCGAAGCTGAAATACATAATTTTAACGATCAGAAACCCAATGATGCTGCGATTACTGATGCTCCTCTCATGCAAACCCGAAATTATGATACAATCCAATGTTCCCCCTGGAACAAATGTTCCTTAGCTGTGATAAAAAATGACCCAACCACCTTATACAGTAGCTGGACGAAAGCAGCGACGCGGAAAACGTACGCGTCCCTATCATCGGATTGCTCGTTAACGATAGTCTACTTGCTGGCTTTCTAGATACAGGGTCTACTCTACATGAACGCTAGTGAAACAGAGCGTTTTAATAAATTCTGATCAGATGACGCCAACCAACGTTTCTGCAATCAGTGCTTCAGGCAATGCACTCGATATTCAAGGCCAAACAGAATTAACGGAATTTGCCGAATAATAATAAAATTAAGATGTAAGCGCTAGTCGTAGGAGACGCGACAAGTTTTCATTGCAAGATTATTATAGGAACCAACCTGTTAACAAGGTCTGAAGCCATAATTGCCTTCAGCAGGAATAGAGTTACGTTTACGTGAACACTCTGTTCTCAATCAGACGCCGGAGCCAGCTGAGCGCTATACGCACAGTGACGCGACAGTCAGTGGCTGACTGGCTTCCCAAAGTTGCCCCCACCCGCTCCCTGCTCAAGCCACCCGCTCCCTGCTCTTACCCACCCGCTCCCTGCTCAAGCCGGCAGACTCAAGCGTGCCTTCCATTTGAAGGATAAGACATGGCACTGTCGAATGACATCCATCGTCAATGGATTCCTTCGCGTTCGATTTAAGCTTTTTGCCATTAGATGATAATATATTCAACCACTTGTATATTTAAGAGGTGCATCAGAAAACAACCACTTACAATACACAATGTTCAAGATTCCTTCACATGCATTCGGTGTATATAGAGATGAACAAATTTACTATAAACAAGGACATGGGCCCACATAGGATGGGCAGCTTCGTCGCATTCGGCCACTTGAACCGCGCCAGCGTTTTAGTAGCAACTCAAGGTTAATATATTGAAATGTTCCACCGGTGACGTTGATATACCGTTTTACTGGTGACGTTTATATTGTATTGTTTTACTGGTGACGTTTATATAGTAATGTTGTACTGGTGACGAGAATTCTTGCTTGTCGTACATAACCTGAAGTTACAGACCACTGACTGAAAATTAATCCACTTTGACAAAATTCAAGAAGTTCGCCACTATTTTGAAGTTAAATTCAACATTGGGAAATTATGTATTTGTTCATAATTCATGCATATCAATTAGTCTAACTAGTACCGTATGAATGATTTATTCTTCATATACATAATCAATCTACCATTCTTAAATTTCCAAAATCAACCTTCACAGCCGGAAGCAACGTTTTATGAGAAAGTAGCAGATGCAATAGAGAGGCAATATAGCAGCATGTGCAGCGGGCGGCTAGAGAAGAGATATCAGTAAAAGAAGAATGACATGCCAAAGGAATAGCGGTTTAAAAATTTGGAATATCAGCCATGGATGAAAAACGTGACGTGGAAAAACGTAACAGCCTTATCGCAGGACATTGATTATAACTACTTATATACAAAATTTCGAGCAGATCCGTTCAGTATTGAAGGAGTTATGAGTGGTTAGGTTGCCTATTTTTTTTCGGTTTAATTGAACGCGATGTAATGTAAAAATATGTAATTATTCCTATTGCAGGGCATTGATAATAACTAAATTTCGCAGGGCATTGATAATAAAATTTCGAGCAGATCCGTTTAGGATTGAAGGACGATGATTGGTTCGGTTGCCTGAAAATGGCGTTTTTTCGTTTTGATTGAAAACGAAATAATGTAAAAATCTGTGATTTTCCTTATCGAAGTGCATTGATAATAAATACATAAATATCAAATTTCAAGAAGATCCGCTCTGTATTGAAGTACTTATGACTGGCTAAGTTGAGCGTGTAGGATAGGTTGTGTGTCTGAGTCTGCAGGCGAGTTCGCAGGCGGGGTTCGGAGTATTGTCGATTCGGTCGTACTCTACTTATTCCTGACGCTCTTTTTTTTTCTAGTAAAACAACTCAAACAAGGCATATGATTTTCATTCTTCCCCATATTATATTCAAGTCATGCCTTCACTTAAAATAACTGACATACTCAGATTTATAATTTTAACACCTTATACTAACTCTTCCGGAACTATAAGTAATTTAATCGAGTCACCAATTTCAAACAAGTAGTGTGACCAGAGAGATAGCAGTCTAATTCGTCTATAGGTTTCACGTAGTAATTCCTACTTTGACTGTAACTGCCGGCCAGTAAAGTTACACATTTTTTAGTTGTTCACGTTTTTCTTGCTGATTTGAGTAGTTTTTAATGAGCCCAAAAAATACGAGGTTAAAACTTCACCCACTTAAGTGCCTGTGATCTTGAAAATTGATTGAGGCTGGCATCTTGAAATTGGAGAACGCCAAAAACAGCACACGGCAGATTAGTATACTGGTTGTCTTTTCTAATTTTAAAACTTCTAATCTATTGACAATGATGATAAGGAATGAATGTCCTCTTTTGGAATGGTGAGGCAATCGGGGAGAATCTTTTATGTAATTTTTATCACCGCTTAACTAGCCCAGTATATTAGACAGTAATCGAATGCCAGCAGCAGACGATTACGAGGCAAGTTGAGAGCCTAGACATACTGTAGGGCGCCCTGTTTGCTTCAAGTGGCGATAGCTGGAGTGATATATCCGTGGAATTTCTGTTTGGTAGCTTTTTGTAGTTTGTCCGCGCACTCGGGCGTGCACACTGCTTACTCACTGAGTAATTATAATTTAAACTGTCGTCAAAAATTAGCATCGCCTGGTACCGCAAATTCATCCACACTCCAAAGTTCCATGGTTACAACTGCACGGTGCAGTAAGGCGTACTGCACGGGCGTGCACACTGCTTACTCACTGAGTAAGCAGTGTGCACGCCCGTGCAGTACGCCTTACTGCACCGTGCAGTTGTAACCATGGAACTTTGGAGTGTGGTTGCGGCAGAGCTCGCTCTATGAGATTGTGTTATGAATTTGCGGTACCAGGCGATGCTAATTTTTGACGACAGTTTAAATTATAATATTAATAAGTATTCTCACTTGAACATTACCCTCTTCTTTATTTTATTCTCTTTGTTTGTCTTGGATTGCTATGCAAGTGAGTTTAACTCTGAATCACAGTACAGAAATGTGAGACGTTGGGTTGCCAGCAGCTTAATTTTGCTAAGACAGCCACCACTTGGTTTGCCTGGCAATCGTTTATGACGCTAGGAGTAGGTTAGGATCAATCAATTTCTAAAACTGGAAGGAAAATCAAATCGATCCAAAATCGCCGGCGTGATTTCGGAGCACAATTAATTTGACTAGCTATAATGCACTTAGGGTAAACGCGGTATATTCCGACACTTAAAGGACGCATCGAGAAATGAAAAACTATAAAAAAAACGTATGCGTTACGTAAGTCTATAACTTTTAGCAAGTGCTGTTGTGCCACATCTAGTCTTCTCCTCTGTGCGCCTAAACAGGAAGCTGAGAACACCGTCCAACTCCATAACTACGTTCTGGTGTTGACTCCGATCCAACTGTTACATCGAAGTGAGTACTGAGTAATGACTCATCTTATTTGTCGTTCATTTGATTCAAAATGCTATAAATTCAGTTCTAGCCTGGAAAGTGGAAATACGTATCAAATAGGCTTGTTCAATACTTTTCATTGTAAGCTCAGACAATACCGAATAAATATTATAATAAATAAACAATTAAAAGCTAATGCGTATTCACTTGGATTAAGTACATTAAATATTCCTTACCATAGAGTCAGCTGAGAACCGGCCATTTATACAATGTCCTGAATCCTGATAAGTTCACCTGTTAAAATGGCCAATTCCGACAGATATAAATTTCAATGACAGACTTACGACGACGCTTGTGAACAAATTCTCACAATTAGAACTGCTCCTTGGGCCTCTTGCTACGTTTGTGAAAGCTTGGGCAGACTTTCAATGTATTTACATGTCTTTAACTGGCGTTAGTCCGCGTATTAGTATTAGTTACGGCACACGGTAAATTTCTCGTCGTTTAGGTGCAAGTTTGCGTATGTTGCAACTCACGGTAAAATTCACGTATTGGTCTCTATGTTCGTACGTGAATGTTGCGGTGCACGGTAAAATTCACGTAATGGCTTGTTAATCCGCTCGTGTTGAGTCGTGTATGTCGCGCTGCACAGCAAAATTCACAAATTGATTTTTTAATCCGCTCGTGAATGTTGAGGTACACGGTAATATTCAGGTATTAGCTTGTTAATCAGCTCGTGAATGTTGCGGTGCACGGTAATATTCACGTATTGGCTTGTTAGTCCGCTCGTGTATGTTGCGGTGCACGGTTAAATTCACGTGTTGACCTCTTAGTCCGTTCGTGAATGTTGTGGCGTAGGTGCTATCAGCTTATTGCTAATGCATGTATCAGCTTAGGGTACCAGCTGATTGCTTAGTGTATCAGCTTATTGCTACTCATGGCCCGTTCGTATACGTATGTTTGAGCAGATGTACCGTATATATTTGGAAGTATATAAATAAATGCAGAATTGAGAAAACTTGTCCCAATTTCACAAGCAAGGTGTTCTCATTGCAGTGTTATGTTGGTGGGCCTAGAACAATGGTTCCCAAAGTGGGCGATATCGCCCCCCTAGGGGCGGCGGAAAGATTTTTGGGGCGGTAAGGAAGAAGAGGGTGGTAGGGGACGATGGGGGGCGGTAGTCCGAAGTCGATGTCAGAAGTTCGAACGAACGTTTGTTTGACGATTTGTACACAACACGTGCAGCACATGACTCCCAGCGATGGTTTTGTCACCCAGATGTTATTTTAACCTCTCCTGGGTTTACGTCTCGGATAAATTACGGCCGTACTCGCGGCCGGTCTCACGCCCAATTTCCAAAGTCAATGATCAAGGAATATCTCTCAAACTAATGAACTTAACTCGATGAATTTTAGTACACGCAATCATTAGGACCTAACGATAATGTTTACCTCGTGAAAATTGTTTAAATTTTGCCATCGTTTGTTTTTGCCATAGTTATATGACAATATGGGCCGAACTTCAAAGTGATCAAGCAATTTCTTGTAAACTACTGAACAGATTCGAACGAAATTTTGAATTTGCATTCCTAACTAACGAACGGTAATGTTTAGCTCGTGAAAAATTTTTCGATTGTGCCTTCGTTCGCTAGTTTTTTTCGTTTCACCTTCATTCGTGATTTAAACAGCAATACGTGTTTAAATTCGCACTAATCAAGAAATTTTTTCCAAAGTGCTGAATAGATTTGAACGAAACTTGGTATTTAAATACGTAACCTCAGCAACGGTGATGTTTAGCTCGGTACAATATTTTCGTTTTGCCTTCGTTTGCCAGTATTACGGCTCTTGGTTAAATCGGTCGGTAGAAAAGCTGGTCGTTCCTCTTATATCTGTATAACTTGCGAACGAAAGCAAAATAAAATTGTCACGAGCTAAACATCACCGTTGAGAGGTTGGGTATTTATATACAAAGTTTCGTTGAAATCTGTTCTGTAGTTGAGAAGAAATCTCTTGATCACCGCTAATTTGAGTAACAAATTACCCGGCGATACGGGCCGAATATAAGGAATGAGTGTGAAATCAAGAATGACGGTGAAATGGAAAAAAACTCGCAAACGAAAGAAAAATCGAATAAAATTTTATAAGCTAAAAAAATCACCGTTTGATAGTTAGGACTGTATATGCAAAATTTCGTTCAAATCTGTTCAATAGTTTGGAAGAAATTCTTTGATCACTACGAATTTCGGCCTGTTTCGCAATATACGCGTAACTCACGAATGAAGGTGAAATAAAAAAAAAAATTACGAGCTAAACATCACCGTTAGGTTCTGATGAAAACATGTTCCAAATTTCATAGAGCTGCGTTCATTAGTTTGGAGATATTATATACTTGATAATTTAATTTGGAAATTGGTCGTGAGACCGGCCACGAGTCCGGCCGTATATAAATTCGCCCGAGACGTCCTATATAGGTTTCTAGTGCTGAACCAGTTAAAACAGCTGAAAACATATTGGTTTACTAAATGGGGTTCTATTTGTGAAATACACATTTGTGTTTAACCTTTCTCTTTTAAAATTGCAGCGTACTAAATTTCAAGAAAGAGGCTTATGTCTGTGGGGGGCGCTAGAAATTCACTAGGGAGAATGTATTATTTTTTCATTTTATTACTAATTAGCTAAACACATCAAACACATCACAATGCAGAATGTAGTCATTGTCCAGTGGTTATTAGATACTTGTTGAAATACAAGATGTATCAATTGCGTCGTTGCGTAAATTGGACCTATAGAATATTGTCGATAACTGCGTATGTTGTTTTCATGGTACAGCGGCATCAGTTATATAGGCTCTCTCGACAACTATGCTGTTTTCACGGCATAGCGACATCAATAAGCTCTCGCGACAACTATGTTGTTTTCACGGCATAACGACATCAATTGGCTCTCGCGACAACTATGCTGTTTTCACGGCATAGCGACATTAATAGGCTCTCGCGACCATTATGCTGTTTTCACGGCATGGCGACATTAATAGGCTCTCGCGACCATTATGCTGTTTTCACGGCATGGCGACATCAATAGGCTCTCGCGACAACTATGCTGTTTTCACGGCATAGCGTCATTAATAGGCTCTCGCGACAACTATGCTGTTTTCACGGCATAGCGACATTAATAGGCTCTCGCGACAACTATGCTGTTTTCACGGCATAGCGACATCAATAGGCTCTCGCGACAACTATGCTGTTTTCACGGCATAGCGACATTAATTAATAGGCTCTCGCGACAATTTAAGTTTTCATTAATTAACAGTTTTATTCCCGTAGTTGCGTGTCTCGCCGGCCAGGCCCTCAGCCAGGCAATGGGCTGACGACATATATGCGGTAGCTTGCATGTTCCTCGAAATAAAAACAACAGAGAACGTCTAAGGGGGAGATTTATGTATGTCATAATTATGATCCCTGAAAGTCAAAAAATTCTAAATGGACTCAACTTGACATTTCGGCAGCAAATTATATTGAATCCATTGGAATTTTCTTTCGTCGTGATTAAGAAAACGGACAATCTTGTTTGAAGCTCGAAAAATTATTTCCTTGCATTGCCATTAAACTGATGATTGACCTCTGATTTAATTCATGGCGACTAAGATTAAGTAGCTGCGTGCTCCCGCAAGTATTCCTTTCTCTCCATGATTTTCAAAATCACGATCCAAGCAGCAAAAGAAACATTAATTTGTAACAACGGAAAATTAGCATCGTGCAGCATGCAAATCGTGAACCTGCATGGTCTCTTGGAAGAGACCAGGCTGGGTGGCACTTCTGTCACAAGTCTTGAAACCAACTCTGCAAAAATATACTTTGAATCGTAATTAAGCTTAGGCGGAAACTAAAATATATTTCTGTTAATAAATAATTAAGCTAAATGGTATTCATTTGCGTTGAGTATGTTGAATATTTCTGACAATAAAGTAGTAGTTAGAATCGTCCATTTTTCAGTTTAGGTCTCTTGCTATTCTCTTGAATGTTTGAGCAGACTTTTCGAAATGTCTTCAAGCTTTTTGGACGTTTGCATATACCTTGCAGCACACGGGAAACTCCTCGTGTAGTTCTCTTTTTACGTCCGCGTAAGTTGAGGCACAATGTCAACTAAATGAGAATGAATATAAACGTATCGGCTGCCTCATTCGATCGGCGAAGCTCTGGTATCCCATTACAATTCTCCACGAGACATGAAATAAATTTGAAAAAGTCATAGATTCACTAGCGCTCTTCGGCAACTTTTACGCACCATGATTGGAACGAATACAAAATGGACATGATGACGACAGAACGCCAACATGTGGAACCGTTTTCGTGATTATTTCTCTAGCTCAAAAGATTCTGAATGTGATTCAGAGGAAGTGTCGAAGTGACGATAAGCCTCTGAGGCTGGGAGTGATACTTCTCGCTGTGCGATTAACGGCAGATTAGCTACACGCGACGTACGTTAAATTAGCTTATCCGATTATATACGTGATGTAACAATAAAGCGAGAGCGCACACAGTTTTGCTCAGCAAAGACTAATTGGATCACTTTCTTGGTGAATTGATTTTAACATTTGCATTAGGACATATTGTCATAGATAGATGTTAAATGATTATAGTAGGATATGAAACGCTAAAAAGCAATTCAAAGCTGCGTGTTTGCGAAATTTGATCATTATTAAATTTTGGAAACTTTGCAATTTACGTAATTTTGGAAGAAATTTTATGATTACCAGAGATTTTGTGCCGTCGTAACTAGTCCAGTGCATGAATTTACGTCATTGCCTTGGTAATAGTTAGTATGCTTAGTGTTTGTTTCTTAAGTAGCATTCACCAGCACGGTGGATCGCCGCCTCTGACTATCGCGCATGCGCGGCCCGCCCCCGCCCCCCTCGTTGGTCCAGCGCTGCGTGACTCACATCTTCTACTGAAACTGTGAAATACTTTACCATTTCCTTTAACGCGTATTGAGGGTGTCCTAATGCACCACATAACACATTGT